GATATGACCAGGAACTTGAAAGAGAATTTTTACAATTTAACGAAAGACAGACAAAAACACGGACAGGTATAGACGTTACAAACACAAGGAGTACAAAGCCAGCAATGTACGCGGAACCCGGTAGTGACAAATGTCCAGTAGAAACGTACAAAGCTTACAAGGAAAAGCGACCTGTCAATTTTTGTGATGACGAACACCCATTTTACCTCGGTACGGTGACGCACAGCAAAACTCCCCACCAACGCGACCAGTGGTTTTTGAGAGCTCCTGTTGGGCGCAACAAACTGTTTAAATTAATGAAAACTATGGTGACAAAAAGTGGAATGTTTACTAACAGGTCCGAAAACAATGTTGTGCAAAAAAGATTGACAAATACCAGTGTTCGCAAATACACGTGTCAAAAACTTTTGGACGAAAACATTCCAGATGCACAGGCAATCACATTAACCGGTCACAAAAACATTCAATCTTTGAACAATTACAGAACAGTCAACAATAAACAAAAACAGAAGATGTCGTCTCTTCTCTCAATGACAAATCGCCCAAATAAAACCGTACAAACGGACTTAGGACGACACACTGGGTCTAGTGCACCTACCTCACATCGGTCAATGTCAAACGAACAGTCAACAAATATTACACATGTGACTACAGCGCACAACAGCATGTCCTTGTGCGAACCTGAACGCGTTCGTAAATTAAAATCCAATGAATGTGAAATCCCAAGTATCTTCCAAGGCACAACAATCACTGAAGGAACCTTTAACATAACTATAAACAGGAACATAACGATGTCAGCCCCAAAACGAAACGACCGAGGGTGTTGTATTCTGACTCCGAGTGAACTTTTCGAAGCGTGAAGTCAGGAAGTGCAATTAGTTCTGTGTGTTTTCGTTAAAGACACTATATCGCTTAATCTTATGACAAAAAATGTTAATATACAATATAACGTTGCTAATACTACTAATGTATAAAATATCTATGACTTCTATTTATTATTGACGTTGCGGATTTTGTTTACACACATTTGCAGTACAGCGGCTATGTGTGTATTCATGCGCCATTGATGATAGTACGGTGCATCGGGGTCAAAAATACAACTTCGCAGTGGAGGTATTTTTACGGTATAAAAATGTGGGAGAAAAATAATCAATCACTCCTGTGTGATATAGACAGAGATATCTCAACCAGAGGGTGAGATAAAAATTTTAGGTTTAGCACGAGGCTTTCTATTATTCTTTGATTTGCATCAAAATATCTAAAGGGCTTCTGGTCTTATTCAAAAGGTGGTGCACACTGAGCCTTCAATTTTGCTATGACATATTCCAGCGGTTCAGAGAGCGAAAGTGAGCGTAATCCCTTTGAGTATCGAGGAGGTTTCTACTAACATGATAGCATAAGCTGCTCTGCTACGCCCTCCAACAAAAAATTATAATGCTTATGAAAAAACACAACATGTACAGAAAAAGGATAGTAAATAGATAACATGGAACGGGTATCGTTATAAACACACAACGACATAACGATTATTGAATAGATGAATACAATAAATCCAAAGATTTTAATAAAAAAAAAAAAGATATACTGTTTACCGGGAAATTTTCATCGCGGTTTATCATTTGCCTTTTTCGCCCTGAAGAGTAATTTATCATTATAGTGAATATTAGAAAATAGCATAATGGACATAGTAATCAAATATGAAGGGTGATTATAACACTGGGCGAATCTAGATTTTAACGGCGAAAATTAAACTGCAACAACAATTCCCCGGTATACAATATATCCTGCTGCAATATTAAGCGCAGTGCAACTTAATTCAAAATCAAATGTTTGAAATGTTCGTATATAGTTAAGTATAATTTCTCTATATCATCAAATGTTCACAATTCGACTGTAATAGTAGTATAGGTACATCAGATCAAAACAGGACAGTAGACAATGTTCGACGAATATCTTGACAACAATAAAACTCAAGACAGTGTCATCCGTACAAATTTAATATTTGATAAACGCAAAAAAACAATAGCGAAACAATATAATACAAAATACGATTCTGGTGATTAGATTGAGGAAAACACTTTTTCCTGCCCATGGGTGTAGAATAGGAAAGTTCCACTCGAGCAGTTTTCAGTGTTTGCTTGAAAATACGAAATGTAAGTTGTCTGGAATGTAGTAAATTTGGTAAGCTCCGTACATGTTGTCAAATATCAAATATCAGACCATTTCACCAACTATGATGTCGTTTACGGTTTACTAACTTACCCTACAAAAGGACACGCTGTCTTGTCTAACTGAATCTAACCTCGATCAAGTAGATTCATCGTAGTTCCAGATCTGGGACATTTGTTGATATTCTAAGAGCTGCGTCTACCAAGTCTCTGTTTATGAAACACTGTCACTTATAACGTGGTTTATAAAGGGATATTAGTTAGGAATATTATAATGCTTATGAATAAACACAACATAAACAGAAAAAGAGAGTAAATAGATATCATAGAGCAGGGTATCGTTATAAACACAAACGACATAACGATTATTGATTAGATAAATACTATATATCGCTCCTACAAGTTGCGACAGCAGTCTGTCAATTTCTAAATAGGTAAAAAAATATTTAATCCTATGTGGTTTAATCAGAAAAGTCTCAATCCCTAGTTATACGATTTTGGGAGTGTCAAGCCCGGCAAAGAGTTCTGCTGATCCTCAAGACATTGCCCTCGGGTTGACATTATTGAATGTCCGCACCACACAGAAATGGTTTTAATATTCTAAAAAATGCATTCTCGTTTCTGCTAGGAAAAAAAATAAACCTGTTTTTTCTACCAAGGAACTGACAGTTAATTTCAAAAAAGTCACTATCTCGTCATCACTTTAGCAGTGTAACCTGGGTGTATCATCAACTTTTTCACACATTTTATGCAGCGATGTCTCTGTGCATTGGGTTTACAATTACATAGTTACTTTAACGTTAGTGAAGTTTGTAGGAAAATAAGCAGATATGAGATGCATACAGAAAAATCGCAAATGCTTGTGTTTACTTCAAAAATCTTTCCATCAGAATAAGATATTTATGTCTTTATGCTTCACAAAGGAGTGATCAATAACATAATCTTTTCCCTGTGACGAACGTGAATAAATCAATGAAATGTAGCAGGAAACAAGAAGAACACCAATAGAAGGATGGTTTAAAATAACTTACCCTCATTGGCACTCTGGACACACGTCAGACCTACTGACACCGTAATGGTTCTCTCCTCTCGAACACACTTCCCGTCATCGCAGTTGGTTTTCCATAACACATTCACCCTTATTCGTATAGCTTCACATGTAAAGTATCCCGTCATGTTAACACTACATTAGGAAGATATTCATTGTGTCTCGTCCATTACCATTATTCGTTGTGGAATGCGGAGTATATTGTCGTCGATTGTGGAAGTCCATGGACAAATTGCACGACCATACTCAATATATGTAGTTTCAGGAAGGGATGCACCTTCGTTTGTTTTACTGTATTTAAATGTCACATTTGGCTGATTTGTTGTGTCCGGAAAGAATGAGGCCTCCATGATTCCGGTATGCAAAACCATCACAATATAGAAAATCATCTACAGATAAAACAAAGATAACTTGTTTTTAACAATTCTATTTTAAAAAGTATCAAAATTTCTATAAGGCAAATAATTTCATTTAATTTTAATTTTGATTAAAAATGCGAAACCGATGACGCCTATACATTCAAAGAAAAGAAAGGTAACCAAAATTGCTACCAAACATTATTGTTACTTTACAAAGTGATTAAAATGTAGAAAAAGATTCATAAAGATAATTTCTGATATATGTAATAGCTATATTGATAATGGTCATAAACGTAACAAATATCGGAGCCCACATTTACCTTGTAACTAAGAGTTACGCACACACGTGCTGTATGAACCTTTATAGCTGGTCGCCTGGCGATGAAGTTAAGTTGATAGATGCCCACCGTCCTTGTTCCGGTTGTAACCGACCCCAGGAATAACGAGGAGAGAAACATTTCTCACTTTATATACAGTAATGACGGAAGCATTAAAGCCCTTAAAAACGGCGGTGAATGTTCACGATAAGTGCATGGCGGGAAGTGTGTTAGGGTTACATAGCGAACAACAATGTATAGATGATTTGCATCTTGCTAGTTTCGGAGAAATTTTGGTTTCAAAATGCACCAACGTGACCCTAACGATATCGCCTGAGAGAGTAATCCGCCAACTGCGTATCAAACTCTTCAATGATATATGTATCTGGAATAATTAAAGCAGAAAAAAACAAGGACATTGGTCCACATGCTTATAACAAAATATTAGTACATTCCCGTGGGAAAGTTAATGCACTCAAATCTCAAAAACATACCACATTTGAAAATAAGACGGCATTGAAAAATGGTATGAGGTACATGTTTTCAGTTTGCTTAAACAGGTACAAATACAGGCTCTCAATCACATACCACATCATTTTATTATTGCAACAACTGCTTAAAAGAAAAAAGTTGTTTCATTAAAAAAAACCTGTATAACATCATATTGTCTAAAGGAAAAGGACGGTTTTAAATATGACTTCGAAAATAAGACTGCCTTAATATAAGTACAGGATACCTGACTTGAAAAAGAAATAAACATTTTATAAAAAATAGCGTTTTCTTCAAAATTGGATAACATTTTCAGATTTGTTTTAATCCAAAGATTTTAATAAAAATAAAAAACAAATAAAAAATGTGTACCGGGAAATTTTCACCGCGATTTATCATTTGCCTTTTTCGACCTGAAGAGTAATTTATCATCATAGTGAATATTAGAAAATAGCATAATGAACAAACGGCGGGCGAAAACGGCGAAAAATTAAACTGCAACAACCATTCCCCGGTATACAATATATGCTGCTGCAATGTTAAGCGCAGTGCAACTTACTTTCATAATCAAATGTTTGAAATGTTAGTATATGACGTCGTTTACGGTTTACTTACTTACCCTACAAAAGGACACGCTGTCTTGTCTAACTGAACCTAACCTCAATCAAGTAGACTCATCGTAGTTCCAGATCTGGGACATTTGTTGATATTCTAAGAGCTGCGTCTACCAAGTCTCTGTTAATCACTGTCACTTATAACGTGGTTTATAAAGGGATCTTAGTTATTACAGCGATTACACGTTAACAACATAATATATATAGTAAATGTGAAGGACATAAGTTTGACCCAGCGCCAATTTCCGGTATATAGTATTTTTATGATGATGCATAAACCCCAATACATCCTCATCGTAACTAACACATCAAAGCACAGATTATATATTGTATTTGTTAATAGTTCGTTACACTAATGGTAATAGGAAGATGGTATTACAAAATAAAAAAAATATCGAGATGAATCATCCATATATATTCTCCTTTCCGTACACACGTAGCTCCAATAGGAAGTCTCTCCGTTAACCTTAGGTAGCTTGTTTTCTTATCTCCAAAGTCTACCCTTCTGAACGTGGAACACATAAGCACAAGTAAAGTCATCGGTAACGTCTTCCGGTAAACCATAGTAACGCTGGCCACACCACCGGACAGCTAACGGAAGTGTTGCTGGAAATATATCAGTGTCGTGTCGAAGCTTGAAATACCAGTTCTGTCCATGCTGGAAAAACAAGTCAGTGTTAAAATGATAAAATCCTGAAAATATAGGAAACAATTGACTGATTTCGTTCATAATCCAAAACATTTAAGACATTGAATTTAATTTCTTTGACCTTATATACCGTTGATAAGTCCTAAGTGCAAAAGGAATATTGATGCAATCAAAGGAATGAACGACAGGGGCTAGCAAGGTATATTGTAAGCAAACACCTGCCGAGTGTATCAACACGAAGTCCAGTAGTTGTATCAATGAAATAACAGTGACATAACTTTAAAATAAAAAACGTAAATTCATCTTTGAGAAGACTGTTACCATAGTTACTAACGTAACGTAGCTGAACGCAAAACACAAATACACTAAACCAAACTTTTTTTTATGAGTAATTAAAATTGAAATATACCGTTTCTGCACCTGTGTGTGGGCAGAGCATAAGTTGTAGGCTATATTTTGTGCTAATCCCATTTTGTAATGTTTGCCCCTTTCCTAATGTTGGGATGCAGGTGTGTAATATGTGTAGTATATTTTTACTTACTAAACCTATGAGTTCTTATTACGCTGTTCATGCAGTTCAAACATGTATGGATTTTCTGATTCGGTTTTCACATTACTTCTGTCACGTCGTCGCTGCTTTCCTTTGCATTCATTGATTCGTTTGTTACATATTTTCTTCCTGCGTTTTACACTACGATGGCATTTCTTGTCCCGTTCGTTGTCATCTAAAACAAAAACAAAAAGATGCATGATTATATGATGGATGTAAAACACACATTAGTGACTGCACTTAAACAAATTGGTAAAAGATACAGTTTGCCAAAAATAATTACACCATATAGCACTGTTATTCTGTCAGTGTAGGACTCAAATCGGTTGTGCTATGTGCCTGGAAGGTGGAAATCCCAATTGGTATTGATTGGAATTGCTGAACCAGAAAGGGAGGAGCATTAAAACAAAACACTTAATTATATTAATTTTATAAATTGGCGGCGAACTGGTTAATGTCAAATTAGTAATGAGTCAAGTGTGAAGTGACCATTCAAAAGAGAGGCTGATAATCAAATAATCACTATTCAGTATAACACTTGATCGGATTTCTCGAAATATCTAATGATTATTAAGACAAATGGTCTCACTACATACGTAATCATTGCGAAGAAGAGTGACATTAAGTGTCACACCCAGCAAATAAGTAACTCGAAGAAAATGTGATATATTCTCTGATACGATGACATCAAGTATCACACTCTAAAAGTCAGTAAATCATAAAGCAGACGACCTATTCATTTATATAGCGACGTATAGTGTCACATGGTACAAATCAATATCACGCAAAACAAGTGATTTATTCTTTTATTATCTATATACTACTTAATACCATCTACCGGTAGCATGATACATTCATTATCATTGGTTGTCAGAATGAAAGGAAATTGAGAACGACTTTAGAGCAACGTTGGAAGAACTTGAGAACGGATTTTCCCATTCCCCAGCAAGTGGAAAATTTTATCCACGTGCTCAAAAATACAATGTGGTACATTATAATTATACAGAAACAGGGTGTCACACCAAAAAACTCAGTAACTATCAAAATATTGATATCTCGCCAAACAAGTGGGATATCGTCAATACATTGACGTATAGCATCACATCCAACAAATCAATAACTCGCCAAACAGGTGGGAAATTCTCTCATACATTTATATACAGCATAGAACCACACAACTCAGTAACTTGCTAAACAGGTGAGAGCTTATCTAATACATTGATGTATACATTGTAGTACCACACCCAACAATTCAGTAACTCGCTAAACAGGTGAGAGTTTATCTAATACATTGATGTATAGCAACACACCCAACAAAGCAGTAACTCGCTTAGCAGGTGAGAGACTAGCTAATACATTGACATATAGCATCACACCCAACAAATAAGTAACTCATAGATAACTGACAATCTCTGTGATACAGCGACGTATTATATCACATCGAATAACTCAGTTGGAGTTATCTCCCTTTATAGAATATGAAGCAAACCAAAAGTTTTTTATATGATTTGCTGACCATTTTGACACTCATTAAACAGTGTTTAAAAATTCCTGTGCAGCAACATTAGTAGAAATTATACTTTGCAATGTAAAGGTTTTGACTCCGACCCCTGCATATCTGTTTGTTTCTTTTTAAACATACATCGAATAACTATTAAACTGTAAAATATTAGACAACATATGACTTTTATGGAATATTTATTTTGAAAGGGACTTAGAGAAAATTTTCACTGTTGTGACTACGGTAATACTCTAGTTTAAATTCTTGGTACTCAATACCTGAAGTGAACTATCATAAAAGCTAAAAAATAGCTATCGATCAACGTTTATTATTTGAATTGAATGTATATATTTCAGATTTCGTTTTAATCCCAATAAGGAAAGTAAAGCGCCTGTTCAAAGTAGTTATAAAAGAATTTGTTCAATGTTGGCTAAAACGATATGTTATAATTGAAAATGATGGGACAGTTGACATGGATACAAGATCTGCCAAAATGTATTTCCTCAATATATTTATATCACCAAAATGTTTACTCCGTGTGGAATTCATATTTGAATTAATGTTAAAATGCAAAAAGTGAAACTGCGTAAAGAACATTCTATTCTATAGTATGTTGACAAATTATGAATGACCCATTTCTGCGCATGCATTTAAAAAAGGAAGTAAAACTATTTTGTGAACAATACTGACTATCAATTATATTTAGCTAAATATGATTGATAATTGCATTCAATATTCTATTATATTATAAGTCAACATGAAAGCGTCTGGAACTACCATGACATTAACAGTTTTGTATTTATTTATTTATGTTTTGATTTTAAATATTTCCGCAAATATTACATGTAATATATCGTTACACATGTTGCCGAAATAACACTAACCAGACAAGACCAGACCAAACTCAATCAGACCATGCATTGTAGTGTGCCTGGTGAAACCCACACTATAGGCCTTGTTGTTGACACTATTTTTAACTAAGCACAGCTGCATATACACATGTATATACAAGCATGTTTATATATTCGTCTGTTTTACAACCTTAATACTCGATAGCGAAGCGGACGTTGAACCATTAAAACTAACAAAATATATACACATATTTTGCTATACATAAAAGCGTGTTTATGAAGACGAATCTCAAAATGAATGAATTAATAAACAATGGTTTATCACTCAACCCTCAAATCAATATGGTTCTATGTAACGCTACACAACAAGATAAACAACTGATGAATCAAAGCCGAATCCTTGGTATCTCGTAAACAAACTCTATCTCCTAACTTCTTCGATACCTCAGGCGTCACTTTCGCGTTCTTACCCACTGGAATATGACATAGCAAAATTGAAGGCACGCCGATAGTTATTTGTTTGGTCTCAGGTTAATAAAATAACAATTGCTAGGCTGATGCATATTCTAGAGAACAGAGGAGCGACACCAGACTTCAACGCTAGTCAATGTTACACTTATGTGACTGACAGATTTGTTTTGATGTACATGTCCATTAAAAGTTTAAATGGGTCTTCTCGTCTCATTCAAAAGGTGGTCACACTGAGCATTCGATTTTGATATGACATGTTCAAGAGGTGCAGAGAGTAAAAGTGAGCGTAACAAATTTGAGTATCCATAATTTTTATCCTGACGCAATAGCATAAGCTGCTGCGCTACGCCCACCAGTTGAAAAGTAGAACGTGTATACATACACATAACCTAGACAAAAATTGTAAATAAATTACATAAAACAGAGCATCGTTATCACTACTGTAGATTAAATTAAATCACTGCAATATATTGCTCCTTCGAGTTGCGAAGAAATCCCAACCTGAAGGTACGCTTAACTCGACGGTTGCAATTTTGAAGTCGATTTAAAAGATGAATTATTCATTTTTCTCTCTTTACCTACTGTAATTAAGCTGTCCTTAGATGAAGGCATGTGCTCTTTTCAGAAGGAGGTTGTTTACAGAAAAAATAATTTTGGAAGTGTCAAACCCGGCAAAGAGTCGTGCTGATCCTCAAAACGTTGTCCTCGGGGTGACATTTTTTCAGTCCACACAATACAGTTATTATTATTCTACCACGCTTCCTACGTGCAAACCTGTTTCTATTAGTGGAAAAAACTGTATTTTCCTACCTAGAAAAAGTCACTATTCCGTCATCATTTTATAATTGTACCCAGGATGTATTGTCCACATTTTGACACATTTTTTATTCAGAGATGGCGCCATGCATTGGGTAAACCATTACATGGTTATTTTAAAGGAACGAAGATTGGAGAAGAATAATCAGATATGAAATGCATACAGAAAAAATCGCAAATACTTGTGTTTATTTGAAAAATCAGATCGAGATATTTCTGTCTGCTTTACAAAGGAGTGATCAATATATTTCAAAATCTTTTCCCTATGACGAACGTGAATAAATCTATGAAATGTAGGAGAAAACAAGAAGAACACCAATAGGAGGATGGTTTGAAATTACTTACCCTCATTGCCACTCTGGACACACGTCAGACCTACTGACACCGTAATGGTTCTCTCCTCTAGAACACACTTCCCGTCATCGCAGTTGGTTTTCCATAACACATTCATCCTTCTCCGTATAGTTTCACATGTAAAGTTTCCCGTCATGTTACTATTACATTTGGAAGGTAGTCCTTGTGTCTCATCCGTTACAATTATCCGTTGAGGAATTCGAAGTATATTGTCGTCGATTGTGGAAGTCCATGGACAAATTGCACGACTATGCTCAATAGAAGTAGTCTCAGGAAATGAAGCACATTCGTTTGTTTTTATGTATTTAAATGTCACATTTGGCTGATTTGTTGTGTCCGGAACGAATGAGGCCTCCATGATTCCGGTATGCAAAGCCATCACAATATAGAAAATCATCTACAGATAAAAAATATAACTTCATACTAATAATTCTATTTTTAAAAGTATCAAAATTTCTACAAGGCAAATATTTACTGATTTAAAACGCGATACCAATGACGCCTATAAATTCAAAGAAAACAAGGTAACCAAAAGTTCTACCAAACATTAATGTTACTTTACAAAGTGATTAAAATGTAGAAAAAGATTCATGAAGATAATATCTGATATATGTAATAACCATATTGATAATGGTCACAAACGTAACAAGCCCACATTTACCTTGTAACTAAAGGTTACGCACAAGCGTGCTGTATGAACCTCTATAGCTGGTCGTCTGGCGATGAAGTTAAGTTGATAGATGTCCACCGTCCTTGTTCCGGTTGTAACCGACCGCAGGAATAACGAGGAGAGAAACGCTTCTGACTTTATATACAGTGATGACGGAAGCATGTACGCGCTTAAATACTGCAGCGAATGTTCCCGATAAGCGGATGGCGGGAGGATCATGAGGGTAACAAAGCTAACAACAGCTTAAAGTTGATTTGCATCTTGCTACTTTCGGGGACATTTTGGTTTAAAAATGCACCAATGTGACCATTACGATATAGCATGTGAAAGATATCCACCCACTGTTTATCAAACTTTGCATCGTTTTATGTATCATGTATAATCGTTAGCAGAAACAAACAAGAACATGGGCCAACCTTCTTATAAAAACATTATTGCTTTCCCATAGGAAAGTATTTACACTCAAATTTTAAAAGTACACCTCGTTTGAAAATAAGTCTGCTTTGAAAAATGCATTGCATTGAAGATATGAGGGACAATTTCCAAGTATGCTTACACATTTAAAAGTACAGGCTAACAATTACATACCACATAACTTTGTTATTGCAACATTTGCTTAAAAGAAAATAAGTGTTCCATAAAAACCTCTATAATATCAATTTACTATGGTAAAAGGACGAACTTAAATTTAACCATTATTTACTTCATGTGTAAATGACTTCGAAATAAGACTACCTTGCAGATAAATACGGGAAACTGAATGAAAATGAAAACAAACTGCAGCTAATTGTTAAGATTTAAGGGTATGTATCAAGTTTTCAGAAAACAATACTGTATACCAGGAAATATTAGCCGCAGTTTACTTTTGCCATTTTTGCCCTCTATAATGAAGAGTGATTTTGCATTATAGTGAATATCAGAATTCAACAAAGTGAACATAGTTATCAAATGGGATGGGCGAAATCAACACTGGGCGAATCTAGATTTTAACAGCGGGTGAAAACGGCGGAAATCAAACAATAGCGACAATTCCCCGATGTGCAGTATGTCCTGTTGCAATGTTAAGCTCAGTGCAACTTACCGTTAAAATCAAATATTTGAAATGTAAGTATCTAATAAAGTATCAATTCTCTATATCATCTAGTGTTCACATAACTAGTGTACCAGTACAATGGGTACATCAGATAAACATAAGACAGTAGACAATCTACAACGAACATCTTGACAACAATAAAACTCACGACAGTGTCATCCGTACAAAATAATAGTTCATAAACACAAAAACAAGGGCGAATCAATAAAACACAATAACATTGATAAATGCATAGCGAATATACGATTCTGGTGATTAGAATGAGGAAAAAACTGTTTCCTGTCCAGGGGTGTAGAATAGGAAAATTCTACTCAAGCAGTTTTCAGTGATTCCTTGAAAATACCAAATGTAACTTGTCTGGAATCCAGTAATTTTAGTAAGCTCCGTAAATATTTTCAAATATCAGACCATTTCACCAACTATGACGCCGTTTACGGTTTACTTACTTACCCTACAAAAGGACACGCTGTCTTGTCTAACTGAATCTAATCTCGAGCAAATAAACTCATCGTAGTTCCAGATCCGTGATTTTTGTTGATATTCTAAGAGCTGCGTCTACCAAGTCTCTGTTAATCACTGTCACTTATAACGTGGTTTATAAAGGGATCTTAGTTATTACAGCGATTACATGTTAACAACATAATACACAAAGTAATTAAACGTGGAGGACGTAAGTTTGACCTAGCGCCAATTTCCGGTATACAGTATATTTATGATGACGATGCATACAACCCAATATATTTTCATCGTAACTAACATATCAAAGCACAGATTATATATCATATTTTTAAATAGTTCGTTACACTTATGGTAATAGGACGATGGTATTACAAAAAAACAAAATATCGAGACGAATCATCCATTTATAATCTCCTTTACGTACACACATAGCTCCAATAGGTCTCTAAAACTATAAACTAACATAGTTTATAAAGGGATGTTAGTTATTACAGCGATTACATGTAACAACATATTATACATGGTAATTTAACGTGAAGAGCGGAAGTTAGACCCAGTGCAAATGTCCTGGTATACAATATTGTTAGGATGATGCATCAGTTATAATTTTTCCTCATCAGAACTAACATTATCTATTTTATATGTTAATATTTTTAGACACTTGTAGTAGCAAGATGATGGTAATAACAACATAACAAAATATTCTCCTTTTTGAACACACGTAGCGCAAATACGAAGTACATCTCAATTTACTCTATGTAACTTGTATTCTTATTTCCAAAGTCTACCCTTCTGTACACTGTCACATATAATTAGTGGAAGACATAAGCACAAGTGAAGTCAAAGGTAACATTTTCCGGTAAACCATAACAACGCTGGCCGCATCGCAGAACAGCTACCGGAAGTGTTGCAGGAAATCCATCAGGGTCGTGTCAAAGCTTGAAATACCAGAGCTGGCACTGCATAAAAAACAAGTCAGTATTGAATTGATTAAATCCTAAAACGAAAGGAAACGATCGACTGTTTTTGTTCATAATTCGAAACATTTAAAACATTGATTTTCATGTCTTTTACCTAAAAATACCGTTGTAAGACCTAATATCAAGAATAATATTGACACAATGAAAGGAATGAACGACAGTGATTACAACGGCAGTTTTGTATTAAAACGCCTGCTTTGTGTATCAACACGAAATCCTGTTACCTGTAAATCAATCCTTGAGAAAGCTTTGACCATAGCTACTAATGTAACATAGCTGGACGTAAAATACAAATACACCAAACCAAACTTTCTGTAAGTTATTGAAATTGAAATAAAGAGATTATATTCCATTTGGCACCTGTGTGTGGGCAGAGCAAAAGTTTAAGTTATATTTTGTGCTTATCCAAATTTGTAATGTTTTCCCTTTCCTAATGTTGGGGTCCAGGTGATGTAGTATGTGACGTATATGAAGTATATGTTTACTTACTTTTCGCTCTTCATGCAGTTCAAACACATATTGCTTTTCTGATAAGGCTTTTACACAAATTCCTGCACCTATTGCGTCGTCTCTGCATTCCTGTACAGACATTGATTCGTTTGTTACATCCTTTCTTCCTGTGTTTTACACCACGAAGGTATTTCTTGTTCCGTTTCTTGTCATCTAAGACAAAAAAAAATGAAAAATGAAAAAAACAAACAATATGCGTGTCTATAATATGGATGTAATAACACACATAAGTGACTGCACTTATAACATTAAGTAAAAGATACAGTATGCCAATTAAAAGAAAAGAAAGATATAGCACTGTTTCATCCGTGTAGCATGACTCAAATCGGTGATGCGCTGGGCCCGAAAGGTGGAAATCCAAATTGGTATTAGTTCATAATGCTGATCCAGAAAGGAAGGAGCGTAAAAAAACCCTTAATTATATGAATTTCATTTCAGATGAATCCAAGCCGACCCCTTAATTGTTATCTTGTACACAAATCCATTCTCCTGCATCCTCGATACTCACTTTCGCTCTCTTAATCACTAGAATATCTCCTAGCAAAAATGAAGGCACGCTGATCACTATTTGATTGGTCTCGGGAGAAAACCTTACCAATTGCTAGGCTGATACATGTACATGTTCTCTGAAGAGTACAGAGAAGCGAAAATCCACTTCAAAGCCAGACAATGTTACCGTTATGTGACTGACAGATTACTTCGAATTACACCAATAGATCATATACGTCTTTTTGTCTCATTCAAAAGATGTTGCACACTGAGCCTTCGATTTGCTATGACATATAAAATCCAGCTGTGCAGGGAGCGAAAGTGACCATAACGTCTTTGAGTGTCAGGGATGTTTTCCCTGAAACGAAAGCATAAGCTGCTGGACTACGCCGACCAATTAAAAAGAAGAACGAGTATAAATGCACATACCATAGACAGAAATTGTCAATAAATTACATAAAACAGAGAATCGTTATAAATAAACAAAAAATTGACGATTACTGTAGGTTAGATAATTACAATATAACGCTCCTGCGATTGGCGAAGAAAAAACAACTCGAAGGTCTCGTCCATTACAATAATCCGTTGTGGAATTCGGAGTATATTGTCGTCGATTGTGGACAAATTCCAGACTATGTTCAATAGAAGTAGTCTCAGAAAGTTAAGGACATTCGTTGTTTTAATGTATTCAAATGTAACATCTTGCTGATTTGTTGTGCCCGGAACGAATGAGGCCGCCATAATTCCGGTATGCAAAGTCATCACCAAATAGAAAATCATGGAAATGTATAACTTGACACCGATAATTGTATTGATAAAAAAAAAAAAAAAAAAAATATGTGTTGGCTTTAAAAATGATACCAATGAAGCCTATTAATTTAAAGAAACAACATTAATGTATCTAAAATTGCTATCAAACATAATAAAACTTTACAATGTGATAACAATGTAGGGTAGGATTCACAAGGATACTTTCTGATATATATGATCATGATGGTCACAAAAGTAACAAATACTCGGGCCCACATTTACAAACGTTATGCACACACGTACTATATTGACCCCTATAGCTGGTCGAAGGCGATGAAGTTAAGTCGATTGATGCTCACCGTCCTTGTTCCGGTTATAACCGACACTATGAAAAACGAGGAGAGAAACGCTTCGCACTTTATATACAGTAATGACGGAAGCATGAAAGTCGTTTAATACTGCAGTGAATATTCACGATAAGTGGATGGCGGGAAATTCGTTAGGGTAATAAAGCAGACAACAATGTATAGATGATTTTCATCTTGTTAGTTTCGGAGAAATCTTGGTTTCAAAATGCACCAATGTGACCATAAAGATATCGCCTGTGAAAGTAATACGGCCACTGGTATCAAATTTGCATCGATTTATGTTTCTGTTATAATAGGCTGCAGCATATTGTTAGGATTTAAGGGTATTCTTCAAATTGGGATTTACAAATCCATAAATGAGATTTGTTTCGATCGAAACATTTAAATTGAATTTTTTTAAGAATACTGTATGTCCGGAAGTGTTCGCCGAGGTTAAACTTTCGCCTTTTTCGCCCTCCGTAATTAAGATGAATTGATCATGACAGTGAACATTAGTGAACAACACAATACACATGGTGATTAAATGTAACGGACGAAAACAACACTGGGCAAAACTAGAATTTAACGGTGAAGGGCAAAACTTTGACTGGGCGAATGATTTTTTGTATAAAGTACAATCAAAATCGTTACGGTGTCAACAAGCCGTATTCAAAAAGAACACGCCCACAAACCGAACGGTTGTTTCAGCGTGTCACTCACTGCATCTGGTTT